AAACCAGGTTGGTTAATTTTGTTGTGTGATATGCAGCCAACATGTTTAAAAACTAACATCTATTTTGCCATCAAGTGAAGTATCGAAAAACAGACACCAAAGATGCCTTTTGAAAGATAAGTAAATTATGAAACTATATTTATTTATCTAACTTTATTCATATAATAAATTATATTGCTGTGTTGTCTGTCGGCTTGGGGCCTGACAAATACTGATGTTTCTTAGACTTTATGGGATTTACCCATGGAAGAAAAGAATATGTGAATGCTAGCCCATGAAATACGTTTTCTCTTCCTACTTGCATATCTGAAACAAGGGACCAGCATGAGTATTGTGAAGAAGAACCCATAGTAGGTGGAATGTTTGGGGGGTCTACTCAGAAACTAATCCCAGAGCAAAACATTATTGTGTGGTCCAGGCTGTTCCTACATTACAACAATACTCAAATTAATTAGCCCTGTATTTTCAGTCTCCACAGGTTTCCCCTGGATTTCTAGTGGCATCTTGAGGAAAAGTAGGAATTCTTGCCAGATGAAGGTTAGAAAGTATGTACTAGGAAGATGATTCAGGACTCTGTACCAGCAGAACAGTGTATTTTCTTACTTATTCATCCAGAGTCTATAAATTAAAAATGCAGACTATTTGTTTCACTATAGTACCTTTTAAAATCAGTTCTTGAATTACTCTAAATCTGACTTATATTATAGCTAATAACTGATTTTTTTAACCAGTTTTGTGCTGATCTGACAAATGAAGGATTCCTATAGGCAATGCTGTTATTCAGGCCAAGTTACACAAAGTAGTGAGTATGTGGTCCAATTCTATTCCTTATTTGTCTGTTTGGTCTCAGCACAGAACCTACCGTAATTTCAAAAGCCCTTCTTCCATATGAGCCAACCAGGATAAGGTCACCATGATTCCTCCCATAAGAAGAATCTCATACAAAAATGGTTAATTGTTGAAATGTGTAGCAAATGAATTGCCAACTGTGTTGTTTCCACCTATTCTGCAAAGGTGGGCCTAAAGAACCCCTTACTTATGCCTGAGCTCAAAGGCAAGGATCATTGTGTTCCTTCAACCAAATTTAATTTAAACCAGAACTGAAAACGTCAGATTTGTGGATAAATGTGTATCCCTAACAGTGGTGAAATTCAAATTTTTTACTATCAGTTCTGTGGGCGTGGCTTGGTGGCCATGGCAGGGGAAGGATATGCAAAATCTCCGTTCCCTCCCCACTCTGAGGCCAGCCAGAGGTGGCATTTGCCGGTTCTCCAAACTACTCAAAATTTCCGCTACGGTTCTCCAGAACCTGTCAGAAACTATTGTATTTCACCCCTGATCCCTAGGAAGCCTGAAGACATTTGCCTACTCGGAATCATGGAAGGAGGAGACCACGAGGACTGAGCCAAACCTTGCAATTGTATAACTACATCATTCTAGAGTGAGATCCTTTTGCATATGGGTGAGGTTCGGCAAGTTCAGGGGAAGGAGAAGGGTAAGGATTAAAGCACTGTAGTGGGGAACGAGTATGTTCAACAGGCTATGACATGGGGATTATTGGTACTTTCACACTGGCAATAGAGAATTTAAAAACCAGGGGACCATTAGAAAAACATGTGTAAAACCATGTTTAGTAGTAGTAAATTAATCTAAATCTAATAAGTGGTTAAGAACAAATGAGGAATTATAGGCTGCCTTCATCCCCTGAACACATACCAGTACCACCCACTCCTCATCCACACCCACACCCCCATGTACCACCATCGCCAGCACCTTCTACTTATGGTGGCAAACAAGATTTTCAAGGATCAGCTGAAGTTTTTCATAACAGGTAAAAGACAATTTTGGTTCTTTTTGTAAGTCCAGCATTGCTTATGGACCATCTTTTTGGAAGGTGCCTCCTCACTTCCACATTTCAGACATGAAAACTTGTTTTGCTTCCTCGCTTCCCATAAGACCCAGCGTGAATTTGTGTGTGCATTTTTATGTACTTAAAGTACCATTTGCATTTATGAATTTAAAGTTAATTTAATACTATATAGCCTTTTGGTCAATTCTTTGATGATGCATTCTGAGAAAATGTGATGATTGCATTATTTTTCTTAATTTCTATCTAAAAGGGAAATAATGCATATCAGACCAAAAATAGTTCCAAGGCAACTCCACTTTTTTTTAATGAGCCTTTAATGCCTTTATTCTAGGTGGAGTGTGGGCAACTGAATGGCACAGAGTATTTACTAGCTGGATGCCCTTCCTGATGCCTAAGATGGGGTTCACGTTCACAGCAGATATTTTTTCTTGGTGCCCTAGGAAAGAAACATCTGCACTGTCTAGGATTGAACTTTCGACCTTCCAGGTGGGAGATGAGCATCTTCACCTCTAAGCTACTGCTCCACTCAGCAACTCCTTTCATATCTTTAGATAAATTCAAACACATCCCAAGGGATCTCTATTGACATTCATCCTTGTCTTTAATAGAACACCTAAATTAACCAGCTCAATCTTTTTACTAAAATTCAAACGATATACCTCTCTTTTGTAAGTCCCATGAATCACATCAAGCCATTGATATTATTCTCCGCCTTTATTTTTACTGGTGAACTGCTTCCACACAAGGCATTTATTGCAGATTTCCTCTTGTTCACTCACCCTTTGGGAAGGAATTCAAACATTTGTAACTTTTTCATGTTTTCCCACTATTGTTTCCACTTTTCTTTCAAGAATAGGACTAGCACAATCTCAAAATGTATATGTGTCTTTTTTTTTTAGAGGCCTAGTTCCAGTTTGTGTAATAGGGTGTTGGAAAAACTGTACCCTTTACATTTCAGCGTACTGTTAATAAAAATTGTGTGGTACACATCCATTTGTAAACCTTAATATTTTAAAATTAGTGCCAAAATGCTTTTCCAATTATATATTTTAAAAATGTTAAAATATCACTACAATACTAATTTTAAAAAGAAAAACCTTTCCAAACTTTTTTTGACATGTAAGAAGCACTTAGCACTAATAAACAATTTCTTTGAATTAGAAAAAAAGGTTACTAGGATACCCCCATCCCCACAATTGCTTGGGTGAATATACTCCCTCCCCCCTTTCCATCCATGACATTTATGGCGTAGCTTTGGATCGAAATAAAAAATAGTGAGATGAGTTTACAGGAAGACTGCAATATCCATAATATCATGGAAAGTCATGTGTGGTTCCATTTATAGTTGCAGCAGAAGAACTGATTGATTTGTGATAAATCATCCATCTGGAAGAGGCTTGCTGTTTTTGCTTTTCCTGTGCAAGAGGGAAAATGTGTATCGTCTCCGCATTTAAAATACATTGGACAGGGTGAGAAATGAACTTGGGGGGAAATCAGAGGCATGAATTTACATACCAAAGGCAGGACAGGATAGTTGGATTTATGCAGTATGATGCTTGGGTTCAGTTTTCTCTTCTACTCAACTGTCAACATCTGATTTCCACTATCCTACCAAATTTAGGTTTGTTAACTCCTCTCTACCCCAATACACCAGAGATGGTAGAACCTGTAGATTCTAGTGTTCAGAATGGCTTCCATCCTTTTCAGCAGGACCTGAAAGGTTGATTGCTATGGATACTGTACAGGCCAGGCAGGGTAGAAAAGGAACAGCCTGCATCTTCATTCCCTCTTGGGAAGGGAGACAGGTAGAAATATTCTCCTGACTGTGTGAGTGGCTTCATTATTGAGTTTCTACCACCGCAGAGATAGTCAGCCACCCTCACCACAGCAAGGCTAACAAGGAAAGGGCTGGGAAGAGCACAGAGGCCATTCCGTTTCCTTCCTCGGCAATAAAACTGACACACCATTTTGTACATCCTGAGAAAGCCGACTGCAAAAGAAAGAAAAAAAGCTGCATAAAAGTGGAAGCTCTCCACCTGTTTGGCTAGGTGTTCTACAGGGCCCAAGAAGATGCACTTTGGCAAAAGAGCATAAAGGAAAGAGTCTTGTGTAAATGTAAATACTTTGAGGAGGTGGATGTTGTTTAGAAAGCGTATACTTGATTCATGAAAGTGGGCAGGAAGACAAAGTGTCTCCTGCACAAGTTCTGAAAGGGGTGGGTGGGGAAGGATTATACTTTTCAGAAAAGCATGTGCAAAATGCAAGGAGAGATTATGGCGAAATTGTGAACGTTTGAAGAGGAAAGATCTTCTAATGGGCGTCTTAAAACCAGCGTTTCCCAACTTTGGCAACTTTAAGATGTGTGGATTTCAACTCCCAGAATTCCCCAGCCAGCTTTCATTGGGTTGTTGTAAAATCCTAAGACCATAAAGTTGGAAGAGGCCAACGAAGCCCTTGAATTCAACCCTGATGTGTGGAGAAACACAAATTAAAGTTTCCCTATCTAACAGATGTGGACTTAATACATGCCTCTCCTTCCCCATTTCCTGCCTTGGGAAACCCAAACACCCATCACGATGACCACAAACTATTCCACAATTGCACTGTGCATCAGTTACACAGGCGGCGGGCACAGTTTCCCCTTCTTGTTGTGCCTTCGCACAAACCTAACTCTAGCAGGGCTGACCCATCTTTTTCTCAGTTCAGGTTACTCTGTAAAACAAAACAATGGGCCACTCCACAGGGCTATGTGCCAGGCAACTGAAGCCATCCATTGGGCACAATGCAGAAGAAGCCATCTGAATCTTCCAGAGAACTTTCTTCTGACAAGGAGAGGTCCCCAGCTTTTGTGTCTTCAAAGCCCCTCTCAGATTTCCCAGAGCACATCACCTCTTTGTGAACCCAACCCCACAGTCGCAAGTCTTGTCACCAAGCCCTGTTTCATTCCCTCTAAACCGGCTTGCCCCGCTGTGAGGATTGTGGGAGAAGGGGAAGATCAGCAGCCAGCGCCGATGACTCTTTTTCATCCATGAGGTATATCAACCAGTCCCACCCTGGCTGGGAGGACAGGTACTTGGCCCATTACGCCCCCTGCTGGAATGTTTTGTGGCTCCTCCGGCAGGGCAGGTGGCTAGGGCATGTGGCTGCTAGCGCCATGGTAGGAGCGCAATAAGACCTTGTGCTTGGTAGCCACTTCATTGCGCCGACGCTGGTGCTCCACCAAGAACTCTTTCAGGCGACTTGTGGTGAAAGTGAGGGTTTGACGCCGTAACTTCATGAGATAGGCATCCTGGAGCCACGGATTGGCAAAGCAATCCTTGAGAGTCGGACGGCTCCTGCAAGAGATAAGACGATTAGAAGGAGCTTTCCGGAGCCCTTGTTATAGTCAACCTGGAAGTAAAACCCAGACTGAAAGTCAGGCGGAATGTAAAATACACAGGATGCCACCAATGGAGACTCCTGGTTCTTCGTCTAGTTCTGCATTACAGGTGGCCCTCGACTTACAACAGTTCATTTAGCGACCGTTCAAAGTTACAATGGCACTGAAAAAACTGACTTATGACGGTTTTTCACACTTACGATGGTTACAGCATCCCCATGGCCATGTGATCAAAATTCAGATACTTGGCAACTGACTCAAAATTTACATGTGACCTTCTCACATGTAAAGTCAATGGGGAAACCAGATTCACTAAACAACTGTTAAGATTAACTTAACCTCTTTTGTGGTTTCACTTAACAACTGTGGCAAGAAAGGTTGTAAAATGAGGCAAATTCACTTAACACATGTTTTGCTTAGCAACAGAAATGTTGGGCTCAGTTACAGTAGCATGTTGAGGACTACCTGTGTTTGTTGTTGCAGCTCTCCAGAGTTTTAAACCAGAACTTTTCTCAGCCTTACCTGGAGATAATCTCAGCCTGCATTTGACACCTGATTTGTATAAATTGTGCGCTCTGATATTGAACCCAAACAGGAAACAGCCAGAATTTGCAACAGAAATAAGGCACGACTAATGCAATTTCAACATCTTGCTCCTCTAAAAACCATATTGCCCCCTTTCCACAAAAGTACTGGTGAAACATACACATGATAGATTTTATTTTTAGGAAAGGATGTTTAGAATGATGCTATTGATCACATCGGATGACCGTTCCAATATTTACCATGGATGACCCTGACCCTAGTGGTTTTCTGTAAAGTGCTAAAGATCAGGTCTCCTCTTAAGCATTTGGACTGGGGACACTGTTGATTGCCTGCTGCTTGTCTCTTTGCTATTGATTTGTAAGATGGACAGATTTAGCTGGACCTCTGAGACCTGATAGATTAGTTGTTGCTATAGTTTCTTTCTTTTTTTAAAAAAATGCATTGGATTCTTCATTGGTTTTGTGATCGATTTATCGTTAGCTGCCTAAGGCCCAGTAGCAAGATGGGCAGCCATAGGTCAGGAATCTGCAACCTTAAACACTCAAAGAGCCATTTGGATCTGTTTCCCACAGAAAACAAATAGCAGTTAGACTTATATACCGCTTCATAGGGCTTTCAGCCCTCTCTAAGCGGTTTACAGAGTCAGCATATTGCCCCCAACAACAATCTGGGT